CTCCCAGGTCCTTAGGACCCACACGTTTACGGAGACTACCCGTTTAGCTGTCTGTATCTACACTAAACTAGCTCTGAAGACAGGGAGCACATCCATCTTGTTCACTATCATATCCCCAATGTCTAGCAAATTGCCTACTCATAACGGGTGCTTAATAAATAAAGAATGAACACATGAGTAATTCGACAGCAGGTAAACGGTAAAATATTTTAATAACTGCCTTATAATAGGATCCTCAAGTTCCAAGCAAAATACTTAAGAGAATAACATCTAATGAAGTATTTTTAATCTGAGATAATTATAAAGTCAATCAGAATGTTCCTAATTTAAGCCAAGTTTGTTCTATTCGTTTAATGGAGTTGGGTAAATAAAAGCTCAAATAAGTGCTTGTTAATTATACTAATTAACAAATGGTTGCATTAAAATATATGAGCTATGTAAAACCTAGTTAAAAATCTGAAGTTACTATGTGCATATAGTAAGCACATAGTAAGTAAGGTAGTTTCTCAAAGGGGCAGTTTTTGTTGCTTATTTGTGGGGTTTCTCTGAGTATTCAAGATATCTGATGACGCACCTTTTGGAGAGGAGCAAAGGGAGGGAGGAATGCTATAACTCTGGAGGTTTTTTCCTCTACTCTTAGCAACATACAACTAAGAAATTTTATAGCCAGTATCAAAAAGGAGATATTGCATCCTACTACCCCCTAAGAATCTACCGGCAGATGTCCCAGATATATGAAGAAAGCCTTAAGATCATCCTTACTTTATATTCCGTCTTATTTCATAAAGAAATATTTGTCCAACATGTCATCAGTATCATTTATTTCAATAATCCCAGAATTCACATTTCATCTCAAAAGTTACTTCTTTAAATAAAACTTCCCTGAATTCCTTGACCAGGTCAAATCCTAATATCCTTTCCCAGCATCATTAGACTTTTACATTTTTAACAACTGATTAATCTATCGAATTCCTCCAGAACTCTAGATCTCAAGTTCTATGAGGACAGAAACTGTTATCTGGTTTTTGCTCCCCTCTGTACTCCCAGGGCCTGGTACAGAGTAGGTATTCAAAAAGACAGAAACTTGATAGGTAAATGATCACAGAAGCCACTTTTCCCTAAGGGTGTTCGCTGAGTCCAACAAATTCCAATTTCCATTTTGATGGCTTTGAAAGGTGATAGAACAGAAATCACCTCATAAAAGGTGGGACGTTTAACAAGAGATGCTCCTTACACTGAAGTGGAACATAATGGCTATATAGTGAGAATGAATTGTAAATTAACCAATCCTTATGAGGAATTTAAGTCTGGGATTAATTTAGGTATTCTAGAGAACTTCAAACCATGACCTTGATTTACTTAACCAGTGTGGTAGTACAACAGGCACTTGGCAGAAGCAAAAAACAAGTTCTTGGATTATTCATACAAATAATTTTTCAAGTGTTATGACCAGCACATAGTCAAAGATAATCAGGCACACAAGGAAATACAACGCCATGAGCACAAACCAGCAAAGACAACAAGTAACAAAAAATAACATCTAAACTAACATTTTGTTGTTAGTTTATCAATACGCTTGGAAATTAGGAAATACATCTCTGTATTTATTTCTTCGTGATAGGAATTAGAATATATTTGGAATCAAAAGACAGTGAAAATACTACACACCAGAACTTGTGGCAAAAATGGTACAGCTACTTTGAAAAATAGTTTGGCAGTTCCTCAAAAAGTTAAACACGAGAGGTACTGTATGACTCAGCGAATTCACTCTTATACACCCAAGAGAACTGAAAACATGTTCACATAAATGTTCATTATTTGCAATAGCCAAACAGTGTAAACAACCCAAATGTCCATCAACTGATGAATGGATAAACAAAATGTGTATCCACACAATGGATTTTATTCAGCCACAAAAAGGAATGAAGTACTGATGATAGATGCTACAACATGAATGAACCTCAAAAACATTATGCTAAGTGAAAGAAGTCAGACACAAAAAACTATAAATTATATAATTCCATTTACATGAAATATCCAAAGTAGGTAAATTCATGGAGACAGTAAATTAGTGGTTGCCAGGGGCTTGGAAGAAGAGAGAGTGGGGAGCAGCTGCTAATGGGTTTGATGTGCCTTTCTGTGGC